TGAGGTTCTTTCCAGTGCAGTAAGATAAGAAAAAAAATTAAAATGATCAGATTGGATAAAAAAAATAAAACTATCTTTATTCACTGCAACATTATTGTGCAGGAAAAATACTAGAACTTACAAGTGAATTTTATAAGATCATATGATACAAAGTGAATATACAAAAATCAATTTCATTTCCATTTGCTAGGAATGAACAATTCGTAACTGTAACAGTACTATTCATAGTAGTACCAAAAAATATGAAATACTTAGGCATCAATTTGAATAAGGATGTATAAGACCTACACAAAAAAGCATAAAACATTGAAAAACAAAATATTGCTGAGAGGAATTAAAAACACCTAATTATACTGTGTTTATGGATCAGAAGACTCACTAATTATAAAGGTGGCAATTCATCCCAAGTTGAACTACAGAGCTATGTCATCAGAACTTCAGCAGACTGTTTCCTAGAAATTGACAAGCTAATTCTAAAATTCAAATGGGAAGGCAAAGAACCTATAGTAGCTGAAACAACTTTGGAAAAGAACAAAACAAGATTTACATTACCTTGTTTCAGGACTATTTTTAAAGTTGCAGTAATCAAGATAATGTGACACTGGCATAAAGATAGGCTTGTAGACCAATGGAACAGGATAGAGTCCAGAAATAGTCCCACTTATTTGTGATCAATTGAGTTTCAACAAAAGAGCAAAGGTATTTCACTGTAGGAAGGTTAATATTTTCAGTAAATGGGGCTGGAACAAGTAGATACCCATATGGAAAAAATTAGCCTTCAACCTTGCACCATATAAAAGATTAAATTGAAAAGGATATTAGACTGAATTAATTAAAATCTGAAACTATAAAACTCCTAGAAGAAAACAAAGAATACGATTTTTGTGATTTGGGGCTGGGCACAGTGGCTGAAGGCTATAGTCCCAGCACTTTGGGAGGCTGAGGCAGGAAGATTGTTTGAGGCCAGGAGTTCCAGCCTGTAGTGAGCTATGACTGTGACACTGCACTCCAGCGTGAGCAACAGTACAAGACTCTGTCCCTTAAAAAAAAATGCGATTTGGGATTAGGCAAAGATTTCTTAGATATGAAGAAAGCACAATCTGTAAAAGAAGAAAACATAAATTTGACTTCATCAGAATTAACCTCTATTTCTCAAAAGGCAAGAAAATGAAAAATAAGGCGCTGAATGGAGAAAATAGTTGCAAATAACATATCTGAGAAAGTACTTGAATTTGGAATTTAAAAAGAGCTATTAAAACCCGATAATAAAGAAAGAACCCAATGAAAATGGGAAAAGCAAATAAACTTTCCTTTGCATTAACTTGAAAATAATTAGGCAAAAATCGGGAAAATGTGTGTCATACCTAATACCAGTTTCTCAGTGCCAAATTAATTGAATGGAATAATTGTGATTAAAATGTACAGACTACTTGACTATTGCAGATGAAAAGTATGCGTG